TTACAGATTCAGACTAAGGGTCCTGTGGCACCTTTAAGACTAACAGAAGTATTGGGAGCATAAGCTTTCGTGGGTAAGAACCTCACTTCTTCAGGCTCCCAATACTTCTGTTAGTCTTAAAGGTGCCACAGGACCCTCTGTTGCTAGTTTACATAGGTGGTTTTGTTTTGTTTTTTTGGTGCTTCAACAAGGATCAAATCAAGCTTCAAAGTAACTAAAATATATGAAGAAAAAACCTAGTTAGACCGAAAACGGAAGAAAACAGTTTTAGAAAACTAGTTTTGTTTACTCCTGTAGAGCACGGATAGGAATCCTCTACTCAAAGATCTTCTGAAAAACAAAGAGTTCACGCAATGTAAGCATTTTACAATTAATCCAATCACAGGGAGTTTGTGGACTCTGATATATCCCTAAAACCGCAAAGACCGGATACCCTCAACTTTGTATTTATGTCTGATGAGCAGACATTTTTAAAATGTCTACAAGCCTGGAAAGTAGTCTACCGTGTTCAATTACCTCAGAAAGGAAAAAAGAAGGGATCCATCATTAGAAACAGTTGCATAATGAATAGAAAAATGCTTGCTGTCACTCCCAAATACAACCCTACTCTAGTTTATATAAATTACAGTTTAAAGGAAGCCTTAAGTTGCCTACATTATTGAACTGTGGAATTCAGTCAAATTTGTTGGGTAATATTGGTATGCACAGAATAATACAACACAAAGCTGGTAAATACTGAAATACATTTAAGACTCAGCAACAGGTTCCAAAAATATGTAAAATATTTTCTCACGTGAATCTGAAAAGCTGGGCAGGAAACAGAAGATGCAGTATGTGTGTTCAGACTAACTTTAAAATGAAAACTAAAAAGGTAAAATAACTTCTGGTTGGTTTAAAAATAGATATACTTAAAACAATAGAGTAGCAGGAATAACCAAAACATTCACTTTTTCTGCCTCACATTCTCCCCAGCATCCCCGTTCATCTCATTGGGCTAGCTGCTCCACCCTGCATCTGATGCTGGTTGTGAACAGGCAAAATTAGTTTCCCGGGTACCAAGGGGTTAACTGAGCAAAGAATCTTTTGAAGGACAGAGTCAACTGTGAAATAAGTAGCAAAAGTTACAGGGCAAAACAATGTACGCTTCCAATTCCTGCACTGCATCTGGAGCACAAACTTCTATTTGGCACTAGCTGGGTAGTTGTACAATTCTTGTGCCAGTCTAAGGACAAGTGACTGAAGCGTTTAACCCAAAGTTTGGCTATGGTTATGAACAGGTATGATCTAGAGGGGTGAATCCACAGCTGACAACAAGACAGGCAAAGAGCAGTTGCCGTGAGAGTCAGGGAACTAAGTAATATCTGCAGCCGTTGACCAGAACTATAAGCCTTAAAAGCTTTTACGTGAAACCTGACAAAACATAACCAAGCAATCTTGAATCAGTAGACAAGGGTACAGAGCGACTGCTAGCTTCCAACTGTGGCTGTACTAGCAGCTGATGCCTCAGGATTCAGCTGAGGATTACAGTACCCAGAAAATTTAAATCTAGAGAAGCTCAATTATAAGGGCAGTTCTCTTTTGAAAAGAAATACAGTAGATTAGGACCACAGCCTAAAAACATGAACAATTTGAAAAGTATCTGTAAAAAAAATATTTCCCACTGTTACATCCTTACTCTATGGCAATTAGCTGGGTGCCAGGAGATCTCTTCACCAACTCGGACACTAGACATTGCATAGAGAGAAGCAGTAACAGCAAAAGTCTCCATAGAACTCTTTCTATTTAACGGGATAGAGAGCACAGAACTAATGCTCGAAAATAAAAACGACGCTTTGATAAAGCAATTTTTCTTTAAACAGACAGGAAAGCTGCAAATGCCAGTGGCCGTGTGGCTCTGCACAAGGGAATAAAGCAGTCTGCATTCGTGAAGCATGTATTTGAGAGGGAGCAAAATTTCAGACAGACAGGGATACAAAGCTGTTGTACTGCTGGATGTTTCGTTTGAGAATATCCGAGCACGGACCCAGGACACGCTCAAATCGGGGTCGGTCAAGCTTTACACATTTCAATGGGCCACGAGCAACGACTGTGGCAGCACGAGGACGGTTCATCAATAGAGCTATTTCACCTGGGACGACAGAAAGTGAGAACACGGTTAAAAGAACTGTAGCTACCACACTATTTAAAACGGCTACAAGAGTGCAGAGAAGAAAACGCCGGGTTTTTAGCACTGATCAGAAAGGTCTGTGAATAGAGTTGTATTAAAAATGCAATCAGTTTAGAAACCATTCAAGGGATTGTCAAGTCAGCTGCTTCAAGAATAGTGTCTATGAAGGTAGACTTGTGTTTGAAAAAAAATTGGGGCTATTCTGGGGTGTTCAGGACAGTTTGCTGCACTATTTGTACAGGTTTCACTATTCATAGGAGGTCCGAGTCATTTTTCTAGTGAATGAGTGGTTAACAAAAAAGTAACTGTTTACAGTAAAGCACGTGCATAGTTATTAACATGTAGAAATGACTGTTTATTTATCTTATCAATACATAAGGATTGTGGAACCTGGTATCAAAGGACATCTTTTTAATGTAAAAACGAACAAAGCACCATTTGAATACAAACAGCTCTGAAATCTATAACTACTAATTTGAGAGATAACAGTTCCCTTAGTTCAGATATGCTTTGGCAGTGGGGTAATGGAGATCCCATATCGGGAAACCTCTAGCTTCCCATTTAAGAAAAAACAGTGTCAAAAAGCTTTGTCTCAAAAACCTGTTACAGTTGTTAAGTAACACCACAATTACATATCACAGACCCTAAATACCTAGAACAGAGACATGTTCAACTTGGCAGTTCTATTTCCATTCGAATAGTCTGTACCTATGGGTAGCAACAGTAACCCCTACAAACACGAACGTGAAGAGTTTGAGGAAATAGACACTCCCCCCCCCCCCCGATTACTCTGCATATATTCAACCCCAATGGTTTTTTGATAGGAAGTTGCACTTCCAGTTTCATGCATCTGCCTGAGGACCCTGCATATTACTACGCCTCTGCATGTTCTTCAGGCTCTCCAAGAGGCTAAATGCTAATTAAAGTACCAGCAAAGCTGAAAAACTGAATAGACCATAGGTAGGCTTCTGCACAAAAGGAAGGAGAGGGAGAGAAGGCCTGTGCACTTTTGGCATTGCTCTGAAGCCATTCCAAGATTTCTTTAAACCTCAGCAGAGGAGTTAAAAATAAAGCAAAAACGGACACAACTCAAAACTATTTACTACGCTATTTAAAGAGGGCTGGACCCCAAAAAAAAAAAAAGTCAGTCAACATATAAAAAAAACAAAAAACCCACAATCGAGTTAGTGTCCCTTCAAAAAGCAAAGTAATTTACAGTTAAGAACATCCAATTTTACATTACCCACAAAATATAGTCTTAAAATATAAAGAAATGTATATTTCGTCACAACCTTAACAGATGCAACATATAAACATTAAAGCCCTTCTGAAGAAAATGTGTATGTACATGAAAGACTTCATTTGAAGCTGATCAATTTACATAGTTTTCCATAAATCAATAAATGTTATATTCTACCCAACTAAATATTTTCCTTTGCTATCAATGTATCAATTTTTAAGCTAAAAATACAGAGGCTAAAGAGGTCTTCATAACGGAAGATGGTTGAGACCTTGGAACTAAAGGAGATGGTACCACCTTTCCACAATACAGGGACTTCTGAGCTTTTAGTCATTTACATGGTACTCAAAGGATTATCACAGTGTAGTTAATCAAAACAGATATTCTCAAACAATTGGCAAATAACCAAACCCATCCTGCTACTACCACCCTCTTAACCCACAGTAAGAGAGATATCACACAGCTATGGAGACACACAATGACAACAGTGCAGCCAATTACACCTGCAGCAATGTAACTCACCAAAATAATCAGAAGGCGCCAGTCTGCCCACTTCAACAAATTCTTCATTCTCCGACCTCCGCTGTAATACTGCAGCTGTGCCCTTTAATAAATCAGTTATTAGTAAAAGGAGTTTGCCAATATCATTTGAAACATCTTAACTTCCACAAGAACTCAGCTTCATTGCAGTGTGTCATACAGGAAGTGTCTTATCCATTAAAAACCCCATTACACACTTCACGTATATTTCACTATCCATTTATATTAAAACAAAAGTCCTCTGGGTCTCTCCTTTAAATCCCCTTAGGATGGTACTTACATGCATCATAGAATTCCTACTGACTTCGTTAATCAAAATTATAAGATGCCTGTAAAGTAGCAGGAAACACTCAAGAGATAATGGAACCAATAACAAACATTACTAGCCATCTCCTGTTCTATTCCTCTGTATTCAAAAAAATTAGGGAAATAGTGCAGGTCTAGGAGGGTGATACTATGGATTATCAAGACAACTTAAAAAAAAATAGGTGATTAGAAATATTGTGGTTCATATATTATGAAACTAGCAAGACAGTTTCTGGAGATGCTTGCTTATCTAGAGATGCACTATAGCACCTACCCGAACACCTACAGCTACTTTCAGGAATAGGACCAGAACAGTTTTACACCCTAGATATCCTCTTTTGGTGGGTTTCCAATTCCCTCGGCTAACAGGTACTTGAGAGGGTTGATTTACGGGCTAGACCAGCTACCTCACTCTCTTGGAAGTGCCATTTGTAAAAACAGCAAAGCAAGTTTACATTCACCTTGCCTGGGCACCCAAAAGTGTAAGTTTTAGTCACATCATTCTCAGAATTTTACAGACACAAGGAGAATAAAATAAATTCCTAGAACCAGGTGTTTCGTTTTGTGTAACTCAACATACTAACCAGAAGTAACATTCACTCACCTCTAAGATAATAAAGAACTCATCTCCTGGTTCTCCCTGCACCACAATTTTCTGTCCATCCTCAAATTGGACCGGTTCCAAGGCATCAGCTACAGTGAGACGCTCCCACTTGTCCAGAGATTCTAAACAAAGTCAACAGTCCAAGTCTTTTAGTATGCATCATGCAGTATCTGTTCCCACGCTTAAAACATTACTCTCTCTCTGGTAATACCCATTTGTAAAAATCAAGACCTTAATAATAATGGTCTTAGGCTACAGCTACACTAGAGAACTTACAGCAGCTTTCTAGTATAGCTGCTCTAAGCCAATGGGAGAGAGCTCTCCTCTCGACCTAAATAATCCACCCCAACAACAGCAGCAGTTATGTAGGCAAGAGAAGTTCTTACGCTGACATAACACTGTCCACACCGGCACTTAGCCTGGTGAAACTTATGTAGCTTGGGGGAGAGGGGTGGCTTATTTACACCCCTGAGCAATATAAGTTACACCGACATAAGTGTAGTGTAGACATTGCCTTAGGATTATGCAAAAAAAGCAGCACACACTATGGAACTGGTTTTAACAGATTACCACTACAGAGGTTTAACTGGGTATCCACCTCATTACATCGAAGTTTAAAGTGAAACCTTCTCACTCACCCAATATAGATACTTTACTAAGGAATTCTTCATACATCTTTCTCTTTCTCAATGTACTGCCCTGTAAAAAAAAAAAAAAAAAAAAAAAAATCCAGACAAACACCAAGATAAGCTTTTATTTTCTACTCATATTTTGTAGTAGTTTTAAAGTTAAAGATAAGCCACAAAAAAGGCCACACAATTCAACAAGACTTAATACACCTCTACCCAGATATAACGCGACCTGACAGAACAGGAATTCGGATACAACGCGGTAAAGCAGCGCTCCGGGGTGGGGGCAGGGCTGTGCACGCCAGTGGATCAAAGCAAGTTCGATAGAACGCGGTTTCACCTATAACGCGGTAAGATTTTTTTTGGCTCCTGAGCACAGCGTTATATTGGGGTAGAGGTGTATATTCTGTTTTAAGGGACCAAATTTGCTAAGTGCCAGTGCCTTCAAATCTCTGACTTCAGTGAGATCCGAGTGCTCAGCACCTCTCAGAAGGCACTCAGGCAAAGGCTTGCACAATATACTGTCCCTAAATACTTAAAAAAAAAAAGCATTCTACTTGTAATGAACTTTGATAAGAGTTATAGATTTGCCCATATCCATTATGATCAATGCTTTACATAATTTATAGGCCAATACTGCAACCTTTACTCATGCGAGTAATAATGCTGGAGTTTAAGGGACTACTGGCAGGAGTAAGGATTGCTGGATCAGCCTCATGTTTATTCTAGGCTGCATGGTTGACTGTAGTCGCTTATGACTATTTAAACACAGACCAGCAAAGTGGCAGGCTAAGACAGAGTAGGAGAATTAAAGTCCAACAAGAGCAATCACACTGTTATAGCAGATTGATTATTATGGTATCTGTGCTGATATTTAAACACTGCATTTGTAATTTAAGATTTGTCTTGGCCTAACAAGACACTCAAAATCTTTTCCTCCCCTTCTTGCCAGATGCACACAAAATCTGTGTGAATGACAGCATGGTTACTAGTCATGACCTAAGGGTACGTCTTCACTACCCGCCGTATCGGCGGGTAGCAATCGATTTATCCGGGATTGATATATCGCGTCTCGTTAAGACGCGATATTTCGATCCCCAAACGCGCTCACCGTCGACTCCGGAACTCCACCAGAGCGAGCGGCGGTAGCGTAGTCAACGGGGGGAGCCGCGGCCATCGATCTCGCGCCGTCTGGACCCCAGGTAATTCGATCCAAGATACTTCGACTTCAGCTACACTATTTGCGTAGCTGAAGTTGCGTATCTTGGATCTCTCTCCCCCCCCCCAAGTGTAGACCAGCCCTAAGAGAGTCTAAAGTTTCTTTTTATCCAAGATACGAGTCCCTCTGCAGTACAACGCAGACAGAGGGCCTAGTGACCAGGAGTAACTGGAATGATCACTCAAGGTCACAAAAAGACATTTCTGTTTAGTAAATATGCTACCTTGAATTAACTGCACAACCCATACATTCAAAACAAGAAAAAAAGAACTTGCCATAAGGATTCTTCTATAGCTGTCTCTGTCAATACCCCACAATTTCACATTTGTTTTTGCTTTGACAGTTGCTGCTCTGGGTGTTCCATAAATCAGGGCAAGTTCTCCAAAGCTGCCACCTTCACCAACGTTGGTTGCCCACTCGTTGTTCACGTATACCTGAAAGGAAATACATATTGGTCAACAAGGGCAAACAACTGGCCACAAAGATACTTTAAAATTTCCTCTTATTCTGTGCTATATTTTTAGACTGTTACACAGGGAAATATTCTAGTTTAGATCCCTCCTGAAAGACTGGAGGAGATTATTTAATCATGAATTTGGCACCATTTCCAGGTTGTACTGAGATTTCAAAGACTTTGGGGGAAAAGGACTGTCTTTGTATGTACTATCACAAAACTTCTTCGTAGGTATGTTCCATTTTTCATCCAAGGATTTGTGAACTTAAGTCTCAGAACTTGATAGACCTGTGAAGTATTAACTCAATTTTACAGCTTGGGAAACAGAGAAAACAGAGAAAAAAATCACAAGAGGTTATGGCAAAAATTGGATACTAGTCCTGTGCCTCAACTACAGGAGTATACTCCAGAGGTAGTCAATAGGTGGGCCAGATGCTTTTGAACAGACTGCAAAAGTCTATTTACTTATTATCAGCATTATTGTTATTTTTGTCTCTGGAGCCTGGACCTTGACTATACCTTGACCAAGAAAGTTGGACCTTGACAATAAATAAATAAATCATTGATTACCCTGGAGTCTGGACCTTGACTATACCTTGACCAAGAAAGTTGGACCTTGACAATAAATAAATAAATCATTGATTACCCCGGTATACTCCCTCTCCCTTTGTTTCTGTGCTCATACAGCATGAAACATTTTGTCAGCATTCAAACTGTTCATTTGGAGTCACACAATATAGGATGAACATATTCTGCACAGTTGGGCAGTCACATCCACAGAGCTGCTCAAAAGGAGCAAAGAGTAACAGACAAAATAAGCTTTCTTGAGAAGGATCCTGTTCTAACAGAATATCCTGAAAGAATGGATAACAGAACAGTTCGGCCAGAGAAAAAATAAGTTCTCATTTCCACACAAAGAATGGCCTCAAGATGTTACCAGTATTTCTGCAAGGGGTAGATACATTTGCAGTTAATACAAGTAAAATCTCAGCCATTATTAAAGCTTACATCCATTTCTCCTTGATCGACAACGTAGAAGTTATCTCCTTCATCACCTAAAAAAAAAAAAAAAAAAAAAACAAAATTCAGTCAAAAAAAAAAAAAACCTGTAAAGTGATTCATGTTTTATAAAAATGGCAGAGGAATATTAAAAAGGCACTTTGGGAGTTTATACATTAACCCTCAGTACCAGGCCTGCCAGAAGATGCCTCAATAGGGCTAAAAAAATGTGCATTGCCTATTTTATTCTGGAAAAATGTGTCACCACAGGCACATTTCCTCATCCTACCTGTGAAAGGGACACCTGCTGTTGTGAAAGAGAGCAGCAGCATTACCTCTCCCCAGTAAATTCACCCAGTATACTCTAGAACCATCAAAAGAGTTGAAGCTGCTGATACAGACAGGGACTACCTGCAGTGGCTCCACTCTCCTTTTCCCCCTCCCCACTCCCACCCCCAACGTAAATTGTGGTTCACATAAAAAGCAAGCAAGGTCTACCAACAAGCGTTCTTACAGCCGTAAGAGCAGAACAACAAACCCATAGATCCAGAATCTTCTCACAACCTACAAATTGTTTAGTTATCAATGCAAGCATTGTCACTTACCTTGCTGGATCACAGTCTCGCCTGCAATGTAGGTGACTGGGAACATAGCATCAAAGATGTCACTGGAAGAGATTTTTCAAAGTTATCAATAGTTTGGTTGCCTGTTATATGCACAGGTGTTAGTACAGACATTTGAGAGAGATTCTTCAGGATCTCTCCAGTTATTGATGTGGCTAGACTGACTGTTCCCATAAAGCTGTTCACTTTTGCATGTTGTGATTTGTTTAGAATGTTTGTTCTTTAAAACACTAAAAGCTTTAAAAAAGAGACAGTGAAATCATACTGATAGCAAAGCAGAGCCAGATTAAGAGATTAGCTCCTACCTTCTTTCGTTATCATCAAGATGGGCAAATAGCACATTCTTCTCAATTGCTTTAGCCAAAGCAGCCATAGTCTTGTAATCTTTAGGAATAACCTAGAGCATAATCAAAACCAAAGCAACTCTGATTATAAATGTTGAAGAAAAAAAAAATCTTTGCACTTAGTTGGCCAACTAAATTAATCCAATTACCGCAATAAAACATTAGCCAACATTTTGTATGGCCTCATTTTTTCTTTCAAGTGCTGTAGAAAGAAGAGGAAAAGCGTGTCAATTTTTTTTTTTTAAAGATCTGTTTGAGTCAGTATAAAGAAAATAGCATAAGTGATCTCTTAAGGTTAACTATATAATTCCATGCTGAAGTTTGCAATTTCTCCCACAGACACCAAGGATCTGTTTTGACCTGAGTTTGCTCAAAACAAGTAGTAATATACCCATAAAAGATGGAAGAAAGCTGCTCCACCATAATGGTGCACTGTACTGAAATTCTGCCAGAGACAAGAAACAAGAGGAAACATAGCCAAAGATTTTATGGAGTGAGACAGCGGAATGGGATGTGGTTTGTCCAGAGGTAGGAATGGCTCAAGTGGAACCAAAGCCTCGTTACCATGCATCACAGGCTACAACCCAGAGTGAACAACATGCATGGCTTGGCATGACTGCTTTGTAGACCTACCATGTGGGTTAGCAAGGCCACACCAGCTGAGTACTATCCAGAAATCATGCACAAAGCTGCAGTGGTTTGGAATGCATTTATGTAACATCACTGGGGCAACAAACAGGGCTTTTCACAGAGGACAGCAATATGGCCCCTGGATAACAGAGAGGCCTAGATATGACCAAAGCTGAGATTTGCATGGATTTGGGAATGGTTAAAGTGTAGGTCACCTTTCTAACATAAGATGCAGCATCCTCTTCTGTGTAGACTTCTGCACTGATGGCCCCACGTCTTCTTCGGCCCTTCACCACAGGGTTCATAGGTGGAGGAGGAGAGATTTCATCCTCACGCGAGTCTGAGCGTGACCCAGATTTCTGTTGATTCAACAACTGTTTTGCTTCCTCCTAAACAGGAAGGAGATGTTTCCGTGTCACATAATCCCAGGGTAAAAATGTAGTTACATATCATATTCCAGTTCAGTCTGCCAACATAAGAGATTCCTCTCTACTATTAATCTCATACAACGGCAGATGGGAAGATACTTCTAACACAGTAAGGCTGCTGTGTTTTAAAGCAGCATAACAGACAAGAGTCATTCAAAGTCTATTTCCCTTATTAAAATAAACTGGCACTTTCACCCCCACTCTTATGACATAACCAACACACAATGGAGGAACTCTGCTTTTTAAGTGCTGCTGCTTGCATAGGATGTATTCAACAAGTGAGCCCAGTAGTTTTTCCCTGGACTGAGGTTTTTTGTTTTTTTTTGCTTTCAAAGACAGAAGAGCAGTTACCCAGAAAACCATGTTACAGAAGCAGCTAGAAAACAAGATCAAGTCATTGACCAAGTTGGTATTTAATAACCTTAGGTTATTTTAACAGAAACATAAACGAGTTATTGGATGGATGTTCGTGTTCATAAATCCAGCCATTGGTTTACATTCCAAGCCACAGATTAGTTAGCTTTTATAAAAGAGTTATATATTTTCCATACTGATTACTCGTCAAGTTGAATGAGTGAGAGACACACCAGACTATTAGAACTGAAATAAAGTTAAATCTAGCTAGTCAGTCACCCAGAATACTGGTTCCTCTATATGTAGATAAATCTCTGCATTAAGCATCTTCACATACAAAGTCATATCAAAATGATAGTTATTATGCCTCTTCATATAACCTTGTATTAAGTCTTCCCATATAACACCTATTTTCATACAACTTTGTATCAAGTCCTTTGATATAGGAACTCTGCATCAAATCCTTATATATAAACTTTCTATTGAGCCTTGGTATAATGTTATAGTCCCCAAGGATACTTAAGGTAGAAGAAAAATGTCTTTTTGCTAGTAGAATAAGATCTCCCCCCTTTTAATCAATTGCCCTGTTGAATGAATGAGGTGTGAATGAGCAAGGCATGGAAGGCAAGCACCTCCAGACAGCTGCAACAGTGGGAGAGAGGATGGAAGCCAGACCCAAGAACAATAGAACTTGTCAAGTGGGCTCATTAAAGAAGATAAGACATATTGACGGCCTTGGGAGTTAGAAGCAAGCACCTTCTTTTGAAGAAAGAACAGGAGTACTTGTGGCACCTTAGAGACCAACAAAGTTATTAGAGCATAAGCTTTCGTGGGCTACAACCCACTTCTTCAGATGCATATAGAGTGTGTCAAACTCTATATGCATCCGAAGAAGTGGGTTGTAGCCCACGAAAGCTTATGCTCGAATAAATTTGTTGGTCTCTAAGGTGCCACAAGTACTCCTGTTCTTTTTGCGGATACAGACTAACACGGCTGCTACTCTGAAACCTTCTTTTGAAAACACCCTCTTTGAAAATAAATGTGGCAGCATTAAGACAACACCCAGAAGGAAGCGCCAAGGATGACCAACTGACACAGATTTTGCATCTGGTATAGATCTGCATGAGAGGGCAGCTGCTATAAATGTGAGGTGTCTTGTAGAGGATCCCGGGTCTCATCTTGTCAACATCGGAGCATTGATCCGGATCAACAGAAGCCCAGCTCCACCTCTCCCCCATCTAACTCACCTGGCCAGTGAAGTTAAGGGGAGCAACTAGTTGGTAACAACAACAAGACGGAGTGTGCGTGCGCTCAATATATATCATATGCATATGATACAGTGTTGACTGATACATGTATTACCAATAAATGTGGCGCTTTGCCTTATCCTCCCTGAAAAGATCCCGTGCAGTATAACATATATGCACTGAAGGAGTTGACTCAGGGTATGTCTACACTGCAAGTAGGAGGTGCTATTCCTAGTACAGGTAGACAAACTTCCACTAGCTCAGCTCAAGCTAGTGCACCAAAAATAGCCGTGTGGATGTTGCCGCACTGGCAGTGGCTCAGGCTAGCTGAGAGAGTCTGATGCCCTGGATCTGCACTCACTTGGCTGGCTCAAGCCAACACTGGCTGCAATAATCACACTGCTAGCTGCAGTGTAGACAATGAATTAAGTAGCAGATTTGATATTGCTAGAACCAAAAGTGGTACCAAAGTATTTAAAATCATGACAGCTTCAGCTAAGTTTTCCAAGCATTTTGGTATAGGACTTTGGGATAAGACCTTAAAAACTGAGGAACTATCTGCTGTGCCTGGATCCTAGGGCACTTAATTGCAGGCTCTGATCCAATGTCCTTGACCGAACTCCCCTCCCATGTACCGCCGGGCAGAGTTCTGCTTGGCTGCCATCCTCCACTCCGGATATACATGCAATGCCACTTAAATGCTATGTATAACCAGAGTGCTTTGGAAAGAAAGAAATCAGATAACCATTACAGCGAGTTTACATTTTATGCTTCTTTGCTGGCCAAAGAAACTCCACTGGCCTGTTTAATCAGTTTCACTTCCTGCTTCTCATGGAGGAATGAAATAATGTGTGATGTTTCAAAGAGCTGGGGGATATTTAAAACTTATTTCTTTCTATTTTTAGGGAAGAGTCCATTACACTCAGATTTTGTTAAAAATAGTTCAATGACATAAGGGTTGGGTTTAAAACTACAGTATGTGACAGCATCCTTTCTATGGCATATATAATGACAACATCTGTAAATATTCACTCAATTTCCACAGCCCATTTCCAAGGAGACTCATACACATACTCAGAATATACATAGAAAGTTGTTTTTAAATTATATCTATTTATCTGTGACAAGGTGCATCTGAAGAAGTGAGGTTCTTACCCACGAAAGCTTATGCTCCCAATACTTCTGTTAGTCTTAAAGGTGCCACAGGACCCTCTGTTGCTTTTTACAGATTCAGACTAACACGGCTACCCCTCTGATACTTAAGGTCCACTCTGTTCCAATACTATAGACATATCAGGAGGACCACCACTTGAAGTCCAGTAAGTTTAGGAGTTAGGAGTACTGAAAGTACAAATTACCCTTCCAAATCTTGTCATTCAACAAGCATGGGAGAGTGTTTGGCCCGGGGGGGGGGGGGGGGTGGGGCAGGGGGGGGGGGGGGGGGGAGGAGGAGGGGGGGGAAGAGCTTGGCACAGCACAAGGGAACAGGACAATTAAAATTGTTTTTGTATTACACAGTTATATATTGACAGCATTTTTTTAAAAAGTGTACTTATCCCCATGGACAGTTATGCCCATTTTTTAACAATTACCTAATGGACTGTAGTAGTGACCTTTGCATTATCTACACAAAGCTTCTACAGCTCATAAGCCAGAGTATGAGGCCAGGCACTGCATTGTGTAGCTAGTAACTTATTATTCTTCACTGGTGTTAAGTAAGTCACATGTTTGCAGAGTAGAACACACACAAAAGGTCTTAGTCTGCTACACATAGACCAACTACATGGATATTTTATTTAAAGTGTAGTAGTTTGGTTCATATGGAAGCATTCTTCACCAAATTACTTTTATAGGAAGAAGAAAGGCTTGAATTCCTATAGATAAGTTGGACGCAGGAATTTAAAAATAAATAAAAAAGTTTTGACACAGATTTTTTCAAACAGATGGAAGCTAATTTTTTAAGACATAAAATAATGAATCATGGTTAGAGATACATCATGTGGAAGAGGTAATCAGAAATATAGAACTACAGAAAGGAAGAGCTGAACAGTGATCTTTATTTCAGCTATATATTTAGCCTCAATTTTTAAAGTAACGTTTCTTACTAGTATGTTTTTTGTCCATATTGCCACAGCAGCCTCTATCTTCCCCCATTTAACAGGGTTACGGGGGTATATCAACAGATAGGTCAAGATGCATCTCTGACAAAACAGAACTTAAGGTCCAAAGGCCACATTCCTTTGCAAATCTCTTCACTCACCCAGAAGTTGAAGGTGATTAATAATAGTGCTTAGCACTTGTGCTCTTCAGCCACAGATGTCAGAGGACATCCTGTGCTAGACTAAAACTTTGCTGATCTGTTATTTGATAGCTATTTAGGCGTTATAACACCTGGTTAGACTAAGGCCAAGTTTAGAATCCGTGGGCCCAATGGATGAAACTAGTTAGAGAAGAGTACTTTTTTTGATTTTTTAAATACAAGTCTGCATATAAAAATGGACTTCAAGACAAGCAAAGTGTTTAAATTCATATCATGCTTTCATTTGAGATGAGAGAGATAAATAAATAAAATAAAGCGATTGCACTAGAATCAGTTAACATTATATATGGTGATTTATCTTTGATAGTACTAAAGGACCTTTACTGACATTTACAAAAATCCATTTAGGGGAAAATGTAAATATTGAATTACTATTATTTTCAACCTTCTTATAGGTTTGGACTCGGAGTGAATACAGCTTACTACATTTGAAACAAAACCTTCTTGAGTTATTTCAACATGGACGAATACATACACTTAAGTACAGAGCTAGCAGGACCTGTTGTCTTACTAAAAAGGAATTTGAGCTTCTTTTGTCAGATTAAATATTGCATTCGCTGCATGTTAGCCTATTACACAGAAACATTTGTCTTTTCCCCTTTTACATCCCAGTAGTTATTCTAGCTATATACTGTGAACTAAATGCAATAAAAGGTAATTATTTTGCAATATTCAAAACAGTTACACTAAAAAGTGTTGAAATGCAGAATTTAGGATCTATTTGTGATTAGAGTAACTCAAACCCCACACTGACAATCAGTGAACTTTACAGGAGTTGGGTAGTTTGCTAAAGGCATTTTATGGAGACCGTTCTTGAAGATGCAACTACACATTCAGGTTAAAAATGTAGGAAGTTGGACACAAGTTTATCCCAGTTCTTGGCCACAAAACAAGGGATGTTTTTCTTCAGATATTGTGCCCAATCGTAGAGTTTGTATTAAAACCTGCAGCATTCACTGATGGATCCAATAACTAAACAGTGGTCTGCATGATGGAATCATAAGGCAGATGCCACAGTTTGTATGCTGTTTGATCTATGCTATTCTACAGATTGAAGTACAGAGGGGAAAAACTATTAGCAAAAGTGAATTAGAATAAGGAGAAAAACATACATATGGATTTACAGAATCCAAATAATGAGAAGAGTGCCTGCAACTGAATATAATGTGAAGTGACAGCAATAGCCACCACAGTACTTACCAAAGACTATTGGTTTGCAGATGCAGAATATCAGATAGTAACCGGCAACACAAAAGTACTAGATATAAATATGCCGGTAGAAAAGATCAGTTACACCAAGTTTTGCCCTTAATCACACCTTACATAAAAATGCTACTGTAAAGATGTTCAGACAGAAGAAATAGGTATACATTAAATAATGAACCACTCAATGGGGCTAGTCTTAGTTGCAAAAGCGGACACTGGAATGTGAGGCTCATATTTTCACAGTGCTTTCCATGCACAAGGATCCCAGAGTACTTTACACAAGGTGTGTGCAAGAATCATTTAGCTCACCTCTGGGACAGAATGGACCAGCCATTTAACAGAAACACTGAGTTCAGGACGAAAGCAAAGACAAGTTTACCTATCTGAAATATGGGTACAAGTCTCAGTTGAAGTACAAGAGGAAAGTCACCAAATGTTAGTTCTCAATGAACAAGTCTGGCTAGGATTACTATTTTCCCCCCTCATCAATATTATATCTACAACTCACTATAGAAAATTAATTAGCCTCAATATAAAAGTTGAATGCCCGTCACTAAAATACTTCAGGGCTGTACATAAAAATAAATTTAATCATTTAGGTCATCATAAATCAGGCCATATTTCCCACTATTGACCCCAGTACCAAACTGACAGATTTTATTTTCAGTAGCTAACTTGAATCGGTTTCCTTACTAGTTTCTCCCCCCCCCCCGCCAATCTGGGCATACTTTTGGTTGCTATAGGGATGCTTTTCACTAGTGAGCAACTGGCATTTAGCTATAGGAAAGACACTCTCTTTTCCAAACAAATACTTTGCTTCTGTTTCAAACTTAAACTACTAATAAAAAAATACTGGTCAAATGTGAATCTCAGTCTTTATTTTAAGTAACTATGAGAGAGACTGTAAATAAATGCATTCTCTCCCCGGCTCCGCAGACTTATTTTTACCTTCTCCAGTCTTTCGAAATATTCCCTGAGGAATCCCATGGGTCTCTCAGGTCGGACTGTACACAGCTGTACAATGCAGTCCTTCAGAAGCTGCTGGATGTTGTGTTTTTGGACATAGAGTTCACATTCTCTGAGGCTACGCTCCTCCTCGCTGCTGTTGCTGCTAGAGGCTGCCATTGCTGCTGTTTAAGAAAAAAAAAGTTATATGAACTACATGGAGAACTAAGATGATCCAGCTGACATGCTGCCTAGCTATGCTTCATATTAACTTTTGTTGCAGTGATCTTGCTTTAAAAAACCCCTAACTTACCTGCAGGGCTAGTAATTAAAATAAATGTTCAATTCCCAAGTCTGTGCTCTGGCCCAGCAATGCAGAGAGGTGATGTACTTGGCATCTGGGAGGAAGTGGGAACCTTGGGTTGCTCTACAGAAATTCCCACAGGCCCAACAGGAGCAGAGGTTCCCCCCGCACTCCCCACCCCTGCTCCCCAGCTGAATGAAACTCAGCAACCCTGGCCCCCTGAGCATTCTGAAAGGCATGGACTCATATGGGCATAGGCTGTCAATTATAGCCCAGATTTCCTGCCCCAGTGAAGTCCCTCTCACACCACAGAGGCAAGTTTTAAAAATATTTGAAGTATGGTGACACTTGTTAAGATAACAGCAAAAGTCAGCTCCCTGGTAGTTGTAGCCATTAACAGCTAATAGAAGCCATGGAAATACAGATGTTTGCCCAATGGAGATGCTCTTTACTTCAAAGTAACTAAAATGGGATGACATTTAGACTAAAACACTAATTCTGAAGTATGCTCACAGTAATTAGAACTATTAGATTTCAAAACATTACATACAATGCCAGATCTTAATAGGATTTATTAATAGCATAACTTCCAGTGCGTAAAAATTTCCATAAGTGTTACTTTATCCAATTTTTGTTTATGCA